AATGTTGCTGTTCAGGAGGTCTGAAACACACACATACATGGTCATTAACTAGGTCAAATACCAGGTTACCTGTCAGTGATATAAGGTCACCTGTCAGTCCTACAAATTCATCTGCCAGTCATAATGGTTGTCTGTAAGTCATTCACAGTCAGTTTCAGTCTCTTAGTCTCTCGGTCTCTCTCTCTCTCTCTCTCTCTCTCTCTCTCTCTCTCTCTCTCTCTCTCTCTCTCTCTCTCTCTCTCTCTCTCTCTCTCTCTCTCTCTCTCTCTCTCTCTCTCTCTCTCTCTCTCTCTCTCTCTCTCTCTCTCCCTTACTTGAACACTGGAGCTTGCAGTAATTGGAGGTACTTTTAATCCCACCAATACACCAGTACATGTCGTTGATCTGGAAGATGCCGTAGTCTTTACTTCCGTTGGTGTTCTTGTTCGAGGCGGCCGTGTTGAAGCTTGACTCGTACTGCGCGATACACACAACTGTTGTGGTTGGCACCGTGGGTGAGTAAGGAGTTCGGTATCGTGGTCATTGAGGCAAATTAATCACAATCAATAACTCAATTAAACAGGCAAAATTCGATGTTTCCTGATGCCTTAACTTACTATAAGAAATATATTGACTTTGTATACTTCAATCCCTACACAATCTTCACATATTTTTATTTACGAAGATTGTATTCCTAATTCTGACAGTGTTCACTAACATATTTCATGAGAGACAAGGTGGACAAAGCCGCTGGATACATACAGTTCTTGACAAGGGTGCGGGACATGTGGTACGTATTGGTCAGCACTTTGGCCAGTTCACACTTTGTGTACACCTTTCCCGAGGACGTCCCCACCAGGGCGGCCACCACCACCAGCGTCACACACGACCACATCATCCTGGGGAAGGGAGACAGTGTATATATGTGTGTGTGTGTGTGTGTGTGTGTGTGTGTGTGTGTGTGTGTGTGTGTGTGTGTGGTGTGTGTGTGTGTGAGAGAGAGAGAGAGAGAGAGAGAGAGAGAGAGAGAGAGAGAGAGAGAGAGAATGAGAGAAGTCTCCATTGAGATTACTCTCTGCTCCATTAAGTAGGGTAGTCCTCAATGAAGCAGAATCCGAAAGTCACTCAACTGGTGCCATCGTTCCACAAGATAGTGTCTTTGGCACTCTGCTGTGGAATGTCTATTTAAAAAAATCTACTTCATCTCATTCCTGAATCTCAAACCTATGCTGATGACTGCACTCTGACATGAATATATGGAAAAGGAGAAATGCCAACTGCTATAAGACTCATCAATCACCAGTTTTCATCAATTTCTACCTGGGGTGGGAGTTGGCAGGTCACATTTGCGGCTGAGAAAACACAGAATAGCTAGACTACACACTGCAAATCAGATAGATATTCAAAATAATGGAAAAAAACTAGTGTTCAGCGATGAAACTGACATATTGGGAATAAAGTTTGACAATGAAGAGCCACGTGTTTAACCTAGCCAAAAAGGCAGTCAGTACAGCTCTACGGTGCATCTCACACCTTCTTGACAGCAGGGGCTGCAAAACCTTATATGATGCACAAGTTCGCTCTCATTTAGGGTAAGCAGCCCTCTTCTGGATTGCCTGCCCTCCAGCACTCATCAGAATGTTGGACAAAGTGGAGAGCTGTGCATGAAGGCTGATCTCTAGTCTTGATCAAGTCTGGTGGGAACGGTCTGAACACCAGAGCCTGCAACACCGTCACGACGTTGGTGGTCTTACTGTTATGTTCAAGGCTATAACAATTCTTAAAGTTCCATTCCTGGCCAAACATCGTGAACAACTACTATAGTTGGCACCCGTAGCACTATCATCTCAACCTTCAACAGTCTCATGCTGAAACTGTCTTTCTCAAGAACATCACACCATCAGCGATTACTCATTCCTAGGATGACTCGAATTTGGAACTTGTTCTATCTGGAGGCTTATTAAGGCCCCATAAAGCTCTAACCAAACAGCAAGGCTACTTAAGTCCTATGAACCTTTGGACGGTTATTAAGATCACACAATAGCTAACTGAACAACCAACACGTATACTTTACACCAATCAACCTCTGGAAGGTTATTAAGTCCACCACAACAGCTTACTGACCAACCAGCAAGTATACTTAAATCCTGAACAAAGTCCACGACTAAAGTAAACATCGTGTATATTGAGAAGTAGGGTACACTTTTCAGTGTATATATCGTGGAGTTTTGATACCATAGTGCTGACGCTCACAGATATCAATCCCAGCGGATTAATTCCGTGCCATTGTATGCTGACTTTATTGGCTTGAATATGCCTAATTAATGCAATAATTACTAAAGCTTACATGTTCAACAATGGCATAGAGTAGTTTCGACAACGTTAAATGATGAACTCAACACACCCAGAGTAAATCATTAACAATTAACACACCCACATAGTAACTACTGAACAATGTAGTAACATGACTAACCTCATCTCTGACCAGCGGGAGCGACACGTCCACACACCTCGGAGTCTCCAGGCCGACTATCCTGAGCCTGGCTCCATGCTGACATATATACCCGCGCTCACCTAATGCGTCATATTTCCAGCGGAAGCCATCAAGCAACTTTGCATCACATAAGTGGAGGTTCAAGTCTCAGGCACGGCTCTTGGGATCTCCAAGTATTTTAAAATGCAACCTGGAGACTGTTATGGTATATATCTATAATGCAAGAGAGATGTCTGTCTCTTTTTCTCTGTCCAAAGTTGAAGGCCAGACGCTCGAGGTTAGACTTGCCCAAACTTGGAGTGGGAATTGTCTGGGGTACGGAATTATTATAAGCTGGTTACAGATGCAAATCCTCAGAGAGTTCCTCTTCGCCGACGACGCAGCAATCACCACACACACAGCAGAAGGCCTGCAGCAGCTACTCAACCGCTTTGCCGCAGCCTGTTCCGCATTCGGCCTGACAGTCAGCCTGAAGAAGACACAGGTGATAGAACAAGACGCCAATGAGCTACCCTGTATAAATATAGCAGACTATGTGCTGGAGGCAGTTCACGAGTTTGTGTACCTGGGCTCCACAATCTCAGACGCCCTTTCCCTGGACACGGAGCTCAACAGGCGTATCGAAAAGGCTAAAACAACACTGGCCAGGCTCACAAAGCGCGTTTGGGAAAATACCAAACTGACAGTGCACACCAAGGCACAAGTCTCCTGGACCCTGCGCTCTCGCCAGGAGAGACGGCTCAATACCTTTCACATGCGGAACCTGAGATGCATCCTTGACACCACGTGGAAAGACCACGTCACCAACAACACAGTACTTGAGAGAACAGGAGTCCCTTCAATGTTCACTCTCCTGAAGCAGACACACATGCGATGGCTGGGACATGTCACACGCATGGTCGATGGCCGCATACCGAAGGACCTCTTGTATGGAGAACTGGCATCAGGAAGGAGACCCACTGGAAGACCTCAGCTGCGTTTCAAAGATGCCAACAAACGCGACCTCAAGCATATGAACATCGACATCAACACCTGGGAGGCAGCAGCTGTGGACAGATCTGCCTGGAGATGTAAAGTGCAGAAGGGACTCCAGCAATTCGAGGATGAACTGAAGAGGCAGGCGGAGGATAATAGACTTCAGAGGAGGTCTCGACCACTGTCAGACGCACCCGCTTCGGTGTTTATCTGCGCTCGCTGCATTCGAGACTGTCATTCTCGGGTTGGCGTTCACAGCCACAGCAGGCGCTGCATCCAACTAGTCTACAACAACTAGACACCCAGGGCACAACTCCATAACCCCACGGGATTGACGGATGCCTACTACTACTACTACATATTATATATATATTTTATATATATATATATATATATATATATATATATATATATATATATATATATATATATATATATATATATATATATATATTTTATATATATATATATATATTATATATATATATATATATATTTTATATATATATATATATATTATATATATATATATATATTTTATATATATATATATATATATATTTTATATATATATATATATATTTTTATATATATATATATATTTATATATATATATATATTTTATATATATATATATATATTTTATATATATATATATATATATTTTATATATATATATATATATTTTATATATATATATATATATATATTATATATATATATATATATATATATATATATATATATATATATATATATATATATATATATTATATATATATATTTTTATATATATATATATTATATATATATATTATATATATATATATATATATATATATATATATATATATATATATAATATTGCACCTAGTAGCCAGAACGTCGTACTCGGCCTACTATGCAAGGCCCATTTGCCTAATAAGCCAAGTTTTCCTGAATTTATATATTTTTCAATATTTTTTCTTATGAAGTGATAAAGCTCTCCATTTCATTATGTACGAGATATTTTTTTTTAAATTTGAATTAAAACTAACGTAGATATATGTTCTACCTACTGTGCAAATCGGGCCTTGCACAGTAGGCCGAGAAGTGCGTTCGGGCTACTAGGTACGACATATATATTTATATATATATATATATATATATATATATATATATATATATATATATATATATATATATATATATATATATATATATATATATATATTAGTATATTTTGGTAGCAGTCTTTCCTGTAGACATATATTATTAAATATGACCGAAAAAGTAAGATTAATAATTCTAACACGAATTTTCTCAATCTTTCGTACATTTCACTGTTGGAGGTAAATCAAAAATCAATTCTCCAAAATTCATTTTTATTTCTAGTCTGACGCGACACGAGCGCGTTTCGTAAAACTTATTACATTTTCAAAGACTTTAGTTTACAAATACACAACTGAATAGAACTTACGCATCTCCGATTTTATATCTACATTTGAGTGAGGTGGATGGGGTGAGGTGGCATTAATAGGGTATTAATTTCATCAACACAAGACAGAACAAGAGATGGCATTAATAGGGTATTAATTTCATCAACACAAGACAGAACAAGAGGTGTCATCAATAGGGTATTAATTTCATCAACACAAAACAGAACACGAAACAATGGGTATTGAATAGAAGTGTTTGTAGAAAGCCTATTGGTCCATATTTCTTGATGCTTCTATATTGGAGCGGAGTCTTGAGGTGGGTAGAATATAATTGTGCATTAATTGGCTGTTGATTGCTGGTGTTGACTTCTTGATGTGTAGTGCCTCGCAAACGTCAAGCCGCCTGCTATCGCTGTATCTATCGATGATTTCTGTGTTGTTTACTAGGAACATATAATCTCTTCCCACAACCAAACCATCGCCAGAGAAATCCTAGTAAACAACACAGAAATCATCGATAGATACAGCGATAGCAGGCGGCTTGACGTTTGCGAAGCACTATACATCAAGAAGTCAACACCAGCAATCAACAGCCAATTAATGCACAATTATATTCTACCCACCTCAAGACTCCGCTCCAATATAGAAGCATCAAGAAATATGGACCAATAGGCTTTCTACAAACACTTTTATTCAATACCCATTGTTTCGTGTTCTGTCTTGTGTTGATGAAATTAATACCCTATTAATGCCACCTCACCCCATCCACCTCACTCAAGTGTAGATATAAAATCGGAGATGCGTAAGTTCTATTCAGTTGTGTATTTGTAAACTAAAGTCTTTGAAAATGTAATAAGTTTTACGAAACGCGCTCGTGTCGCGTCAGACTAGAAATAAAAATGAATTTTGGAGAATTGATTTTTGATTTACCTCCAACAGTGAAAAGAAATGTACGAAAGATTGAGAAAATTCGTGTTAGAATTATTAATCTTACTTTTTCGGTCATATTTAATAATATATATATATATATATATATATATATATATATATATATATATATATATATATATATATATATATGTCGTACCTAGTAGCCAGAACGCCCTTCTCAGCCTACTATGCAAGGCCCGATTTGCCTAATAAGCCAAGTTTTCATGAATTATTATATTTTCTCTAATTTTTTTCTTGTGAAATGATAAAGCTACCCATTTCATTATGTATGAAGTCAATTTTTCTTATTGGAGTTAAAATTAACGTAGATATATGACCGAACCTAACCAACCCTACCTAACCTAACCTAACCTATCTCTATAGGTTAGGTTAGGTTAGGTAGCCGAAAAAGTTAGGTTAGGTTAGGTTAGGTAGGTTAGGTAGTCGAAAAACAATTAATTTATGAAAACTTGGCTTATTAGGCAAATCGGGCCTTGCATAGTAGGCTGAGAAGTGCGTTCTGGCTACTAGGTACGACATATATATATATATATATATATATATATATATATATATATATATATATATATATATATATATATATATTACATATATATGTATATAGGGATGCATTTTACAAGGTCACTCCTTACATTCTCTCAGACTAGTTTACCATTTTTAGCACTCCCTTATATTTTCTTTGGGTGAGGTGGTAAAGAACAAGTGGATAAATTGCATAACATAGTGAATATTGAAAGGGTATTAAATGTGGCAACATGGGCAGCTCATGTGCTTTTGGCTGCTTGTGTTCCTAAGGCGGGGTCATTTGATCCTATCTTTGCATTGGCTCGGGGTCTTGAAACGGGTAGAATGTTATTATGTTAACTGGTTGTTGATTGCTGGCTTTTAATGTTTTATGTGTAGTGCCTCGCTGATGTCCAGTCTTCTGTTTTCGTTATACCTGTCGATTATTTCAGTGTTGCTTGTTAAGATGTCTCTGGTGATGGTCTGCTTGTGTGAAGAAATTCTATGCTCCTTAACGGAGCCCTGTTGCTTTTTTGCATTTTTAATCGCCTAGAGAGAGACTCGTCTCTCTCTAATATATACGTCTTTATATACAGGCAAGACGTTGTTGTCTTGCCTGTATACTAAGATCTTTGGGGCTGACAGTCCCGAAGTGGGCATGTAATTGCATAGACTATATTGGTTTCTCTTAAGGTGTTCTGCTTTGTGTCTGGAGAGTTCTTCACAAGTAAGTTGGCCGTCATTTTTTTTTTAATATATTCTTAGTTGTATCGTTTGATTGGTATCTGTGGGGGGGGGGGGGGTTAACATTCCTATCAATAATATCTTTAAGGACTCTTTCCTCCATATCATAAGTCGCGGAAAAAAATCCAGTAAAATAATTTGATTGGGAAGTACGGGTGTTGTGCTGAATGCTTCTTCATAGGTTGCTTGGCGTGTCACCTTTCTTTTAATGACGCCTTCAACATAACTGTTAGAAAAGCCATTATTGACCAGGATCTGCCTTGCTCTAGTTAGTTCCTCGTCGACCTGCTTCCAGTTAGAGCTGTGAGAGCTCCGTCGACGTAGGCGTTGACAATACTTGTACCTCTCCGGGCAGTCACTGTTAGCATTAAGGCACATTAAGGCACATTCCTATTTTCGTTTCCTAAGTGTAGACTGCAATATGAAAGCCTCAAT